CTCTCTCTCTCTCTCTCTCTCTCCCCGCTTCCCCTTTTCTTTTTCCCGCCCCGGGTTCACTCCTTTTCTGAGAAACCGTTATTACTCCTCTCGCACACAAACACACGTGCTGGACGTTGCTCAGGTGACCGCGAGGCTGAAAATCGAGATAATGAGCCCTAAAAGCAGACTTAACTACTTTCACAAACGGGTGACGTCGTCGAAAGTGCCTAGCGAACCTCTAGAGATTTCGCTGTCAATGCCCGCAGTACCGGGTGATTCAGAGCACGCGCCGCCGTGTTGCGGGTTTGCCTATCCTCGACTCGGCGGGCGCACGGGTGAGAGGTGAGGAGGGGATCCATTCCCTACAATAGTTCACCGGGTGTTTCTTTGAAATGCGCTCTGCGCCGGGATGATTGCGTACTCACTAAGGGCCGCAGGCGCCATTGCGCCTTGCGGGCGACGAGAGTTAGTAGGCTAAGTGAAGTAACTTTGGAGCACATTATTTAAAGAAACACCCGGTACTGCACAACAGTTAATCAAACTTTCATCAAAAAGCGCCTTCATCAAATCGACGCCATGAAATGAGAGGCACGCAGTTCGGGCTGCTAGATCCGAACTCCACGCAGTTTCTACCCCTGCACTGTAAAAATATTGCGAAGAACTATTCTTGCAAAGAATTTTGAAGTGATGTAAAATGCTTTGCATTGCGAACTAAAATCCTTCACATTGCAAACTAATTCATCGCACCTTATTGATTGTGAGAAAATAGTTTGCAATGCAAATGCAAAGGAAATAGTTTGCAATGCAAACTTCCTAACAAAGATTCGAAATTCTTTCCAACGATTTTGTAGTATGTAGCGAAGAACTGCGTGGATCTCGGATCTAGCTGATGATCTAAGTGCCTTTCATTACAATGTGTCGAAATATGAGGCACATCACAATATTTTCATAAATGGTAACAGTTTCTACATAGGCCTATTTTTTGAATCAATCTGAAATTTTGATTCTGGACGTAGCACGGTGGAGTGCCGTCGTGTATCAGTATCAAGTCTACGACTCAACAGAGTTGCGGGCTTGCCTACCCTAGCGGCCACACGGCGCTCCATTTTGATGTAGCTGCAGGGTCCGAAAGTAAAGCCCTCGCTTTAGACCTTAAAAAACATTGGCACTCGCCAAAATGTCCGACAGCCGTGGCCCCAACAACTGGTTTCTCAAAATGACAATAATACGAATTCAGATGGCCTCATAGAAATGAAAGATCATTATTGTGGGAAATGTAAGTGTTTTACAAATTATTGGGTCCGGAACAAAAGCAGGCGCGCATTGGCCAATAGATGACATGCGTGTAATGATAGGGTAGTGGAATGCGCGGGGGGAAGGGGGGGGGGCAGCTAGCGTGCGGCGGGCCGGCGGACCTGGACGTCGCGTGACGCGTGCATCCCGGGCCCTATCAATTATCGACGGCTATAATCGAATTATTGATGCGATATAAGTTTTCTCTCTCCGGCTTGTTATATTGTGGGCAGAAGAGTCTATACATTCTCGTGCGGCGCTGCTGCGTTAGAAGGGAAAGACATGCCGCACCGATAGCCGACGAGAAAAAATTCCAAGGATGTCACGATATCACGTTGTCTCATTAAAAGAAACTTTCTAAAGGGTGCAATTTTCTCTTCTTGCTTTTGAGATTAAGCCGCTTTAGTGTAATGCAGTATGGTCGCTTGAGTGTCCCAGCGACCAATCATCAATCAAAATTACATCAAATTGACGCAAATTTGTCAAAAATGTCGTCAGATTGATGTGCCTTAATTTTCATTTCTAGCTCGGCCTGTGTGCAAAGGACTAGACGTATAACCGAACTGCATTTTAAACGCACTACATGGCGTATAGTGAGAAATAAATGATTGAAACGACGTAGAATCGACATTGTTCATAGGTCCAGTCGATTTCCAGTTCTGAAAAAAACACAGTGGTAGATTTAGTCCCGTGAGGCGAGTCGCCGTCGCCTCACGGTGAGACGCCTAGACGCTATGAGCCAATCATATCCCTCAAATACCTCTAAGGAGACTGAACCCACCATAAGGGATCATCCAGAAAGTACTCTGTCATTCTCCGTTACGATACTGTCAAGTTCTGCCTCTGCAAGCCCTCAACACGCCTGGTAGGCTGGCAAACATCTTGCCAACAGTGCATGCGTGTACTGCGGTGTGGCCTACCATGAGTCTCACAGGCGCTGAGCTCCAATAATTATCTGAACGGATCTGAGAAAGACGGACATACTTTCTGGACGATCCCAAATATTTTGAATACACCACGCCAAAGTTTTCTGGATACAGGTAAACAAAATGTCAATTTTGTCGATAGTGACTATCTCAACGTGATATCAGAAGGCATCAGTAATCTAACAAGGGAAAGGTTCAATAGTTTCCTCTGCTTTCGTGGATTTAGGGGAGGGTGAATGATGGTCACCCCACTCGCCTGCCTCACTACTCTCGAACTTTAACAAACTCCTGATGGGTAGGCAATCAGTGATACAATCGGCCTGAAAGCAGGCAAAAGTCTTGGCTTTGGTCTTTCCCTCCCTTTCTTCAGAGCATGTTTTCAGATGTTAGATCGTACGGGAGGATTGTGCTACTAGGAGGTCCACGTCAGCCGCCGAGTAGGCAACTTATCTCGTAAGAAGTGGGTCGGTCCTCGTAAGCCTTGCAGATAAGACTCTTATGAGGACAAACCCACTTCCTACTTATCATTTTTTCCTCATTGAGTAGGATTACCATTTCGAACCTATTTGCAGTGAGAATTCTTACTAACCCTGAATAATAAAAGTATGACTCAATCCCCATTCATGTAAACTTGGGAATTGGAAACAGAGCCTGATAATAAAATATCTCTGTGTTAGCGTGTGTAGAAGAGAATTCTCTTTAACATTCTGGGTAGAAATTCTCACTTTAGATCGTTTAGAGCGTGTGTCCTCCATCAATCAAATGACCACCTAGGAACAAAGAGGAAAATAAAAAGAGCTGTTGTCTTTATAAAACAAAGATATTATTAAAACCAATCGGAAAGGACCTTTTCTTCTCTAGGAGAACTTACTCTAAGTGTGAGGGCTACAAACTGCATTTTAACACAACACATTAAACCTCATACATAAATTTTATTTAGAAAATGTGTTAGAGAAGTGCCTCAGCTTGGCAAAAGATACTTATGTATTACATTTCATGTTAACATAACTTGATGATTTCAACTCATTGACAATACTAAAAATAAATATACATACCACCATGAATGATCAAGAAATGACTTAAGAAATATGACAACAGCTAGTTTGTACAGTATAAAATTTGTAGTAGAAAAGCATGGTATAGTGAAGTAATGCAAATCCCTGGCTGTTAAAAGGCAGTCAAAATTGATTATGTGGTGAACGGTTTCCATTAATTTTATAAAAGCAAAATATTAATTAAATATGTCTGAAAACTATCGAATGAATGAGTCCATCACGAATAGAATCATTAGGATTTCCTACGTTGAATTTAAACAAAACTCCATCACATACAGCTGTTTCAGTGTAAGCTCCTGCTGGGTAAGAGCCACCTTTATTTAAGACCACTCCTACACGGTATACCTTGTTTCTTTGAATAAATATGTGCCTGTTGAAAGATATCTCCATAAATTGTCCATAATTTACTCGAGATGTAAGATGTGTGTAGGTTAGTCGAGCTCCATTTGAGTCCAGAAGGTGGGCATACAATAATTCAGTATAGCTTGACCTTTCGCGTCTTACATACTGACCATCAATGGATTCAATTTGAGTAGGAACCTGCACAAAGGAAAGTAACGAAAAATTAGGGCTGAAACTCTTCAATAATTGGTAAATGTCCAATTTTGAGATCATTACTGTACTTCACAATTGAATATATGTCTACATTCTCATCAAATAAGGAATATATTTAAGATTAGAAATTTCTCAAATAGAGTAGATTGAAAGTCATGGGAAGATATGAAGTAACAAACCTGAGCTCCTAAAATGCAAATGTCACGATCCACTGTAAACTGCAGTGTACTGTCCAAGATTGTGCTGTGGTAAATAGGGGGTGGTGGTTGACCAGGTAGAGGACTGCGTAAACAATACATTTTTGGCAATGCCACCTGCTTGAGAGGAAAATTATGATGTTTATATATGTTTAGATTACAAATGGTCTTTATGGGTCCATTGAAAGTAAAGTTTGAAAACTTACATCTGCAGATGTACTAGCACAAAATAGAGTAGGGGCTCTAAAAGGTAGTAATTTTGATTCAGGTTCTATCTCAGGCTCAGGTATTTTCTTGCGGGGAACTCGAGATGATGTGAAGCCTTCTGGTAAAGGTAAAGAAAGTGTAGTTGTATTGGGACTTGAAATATTAACCAAGATTGCAAAAGCTTCATCTTGAGAGAGCAGTTGAGAAACTGCAGGCCGCTCAGCAAATTGGGATGGGGAAAGTGTTAGGAATCGAATCTTCCCAACAGTTCCATGGAGAACAGATCGCAATGCTTTTCCATCTGATGGAGGTAGTCCTGTTAACAAGATACATGAAAAGCATTCTACTACCGATACAAAAATCTGTATTGCACTTTGTTGACAATGAGAAACAAACCTTTGCGGGCACATTCCCTTATAGCCCATCTTTGTAAGGCATCAAAAAGTTCTAGTTCTGAATCAATAGTCAATTCCTCCTGATCAAGAACAGCTTGAATAGTAGCAAGTTCTACTTCTTCAAAAGAAGACTCAGCTAATACTTCTTTAGTTTTACTACTGATCACCTAGTTGATTTTATAAAAGGAAGATAAGAACAAGTTAAAATATAAAATGACAACTGTATATTCATGATGGAGACAGTTAATACCTCTAGGGATTTTTCCATAAGATCAGGCTCTTCAAAGAGTTTGGCAAATTCATAAGCACGACAGGCATTGTCAGGACATATGTCCCTCCAAATATATTTTGTGCACTCCCTAACAAGATGAGGTAGCATATACTTTTTAGCAACGTAACAGAGCTCACAAGCTTGATCAAAAGAACGAAGACTTATTTTATCTGAATAAATGTACCTAAATAAAACATAGAGTGATAAATTTAAAAAATGAACAAAATAAAACCATAAAAATTGAACAGGCAATACAAAATGATTAATTCTATTTGTACTTACTCCAACAATGCTTTGAAACCTTCAGGCTGGACATCAAAAATGTGGATAGCTCCATCTTTCTCTGCCATACCACCGAAAAACATAGCTTCAAAGACTGGACTTGACATGGCAAGGAACACTTTATGACCCTCAAAAGCCTATCAATAATAGTAAATATTCATAAATTAACAAAGTAGGGCGTTTTACATAGTGTGTGCAAGAAGTACCAGTAATGAAATTATACCTGTTGGTGAGGTTCTGTCCCAACGATGAATTTGCAATCACTCCATTGGCCTGTTTCCAAGAGTTGTTGTCCACGTTCACGAATAGTAGTTTTAGTGACTTGCCAGTCATATGTACTGCCATAGGAGTCATGGATGTTATTGGAGGAACTTGCACCATTTCGTGATGATGCTGAGTTGTCAGGTTTTCCTCCAATACGATTATTTTCGTAAGTACTGGGCGAGTAACCTTCCCCGCTAGCCATTCTGAATAATTTTGTAGATGGCTGCAGGGAGAGGTCAAACTGCCAATGATTTTTGCGGCCTAAGGAGTTCTGCAAGAATACAAATAGAATACACATATTATAAGATAAAGGTAAAAGGAAGATCGCAGACTATGTAAATTGAAAAATAGGCTTTAGAGCTGAATAGATTTTCATTCGCACAATAAGTGCATGTTGTGTATACAAGTTAATAATATTCACTAAAAGCCAGCGCAAGCAATGCTCAATTCCAAGTTATAAACAAAATTTTTATACAAAAATGTCCCAGTTTCTATAAAATTTTGATCTATTCACGTCAACTTGTTGAAATTTTGATTGATAATTGCTTGCTGGGAAACACAAATTACTAGACAATCTTGACTCACACCGAACAAAACAATTAAAATCTCTAAAACATGGTTGATAGCCACTTATAAAGCATTTAGGAGGAGCTTATGAAAACTACAAACAAACATCAACTCAAAACCCAACAAAGCAACCATAACATTTTTATCATTTAAATCCAAGAGCTTATTTGCGGAAATGATACTAAGGAAAAATGTGCTCTAAAACATGTATCATATCAAGAAAATGAACCATTTTCGCTTTGAAAATCAGTGAAATCTGATAAACTTACTTCAGTTTTCGCTCTTTTCATAACCTGACATTTAAAAAAAACGTCTGCTGCTTCTGAAAATAGGCACCACGGCCTGCTATAAAAGGCACGACAACGTCAGGTCATTCGAGTGGGGAGTGTGGCACACGGGAGCACTGCGGGTGTATTCGCACTCATAACCTAGAACCACATGTTGTGATTGTGCAGTGGGGCACGTGCCGCAGCAAGTTTGAACGTTTGTGTTGGGGCTGAGCTGCGTTAACGCCGGAGGACTTTTATAGCTGATAGATCATTTTCCTGATTCAATTTTAAATCCAAAATGGGTAAGAAGTCAATCAGTGAGGCAGATAATTCTGTAGTTTCTGAAGGAGAGAAGGAAAATGGTCAAAGTTATGAGGAAAAGTTAAGCTTTGTTAGTGCCATAGCCTCTCCTATGGCTTCTAAAAAGCTAACTAAGAAGCTCTACAAAGTTATTAAAAAGGGTAAGCTGAATGTATTGGTCACTCGCAATCTCTTTATTTTTCTGGCGAGAGTCTTGCTTTTATCTTTTTGACTAGCATCTGATAAAATATCTCAATGTATCATGTTTACTTTTCTCACAGCCTCCAAACATAAGACATACGTACGTAATGGATTGAAAGATGTGCAGGCTAGGATTCGCAAAGGTGAAACTGGGTGAGTTATTCTATTCCTTGTTAATGTTATTATGTCAAGGTGCTACTATGATACAGAGTTTTGTCTTGTGAGGTGAGGTGCTTCATATCGGTTCTGCAATTGGCTTGCCATCACTTTTGTCTGACATTCGAAGGGTGCTGCCTCACCACCCAAGACTAATCCATTTTTACGGCTCAAGAACTAAAGAGTATGCAAATCTTAAATGCTCATTTTCTTGTTTACAGTATCGTTATTTTTGCTGGGGATGTATCCCCAATTGAAATTATGTGTCACATGCCTGCAGTTTGCGAAGATAAAGATATTCCGTATTGTTACACTCCTGCCAAGTCTGACATAGGAGCTGCCATGGGCGTGAAGAGAGCATCTGTGATGGTTCTCGTCCGACCTCATGATGATTACAAAGAACTATATGATGAATGCTACGAGGAGATGAAACACCTTCCTCATCCACTCTAATAGTAAGATTCTATTTTTATTTTCATTGTTTTAAATGGGAAGAGTATTGATAGTTTTGTATTTTGTTTTGCAATGTGACAGAACAGTTGAAAATTACCAACAATTTTGTTTCTATCTTTATCTGAGCATTTCTTTAGCTCTTAAGATAATCAATTTCATTTTATTTTATTAATGACCGGTTGTTTTTTGTCATAAAGGAGTACTGATTTAAGTTTAGTTTAAATATGCTTTTGCAAATCTATTCCTTTTTGTATTATCCTATAATATTTTGATAGGTTTTGTACTTTGTAAAATTATCTGGCATATCTAGACCATTACAATCAAAAGAATGTTTTGATTTGGATGTTAACTATATTTGGTGTGTGATGGTGTAGTGACAGGTCATTAAAAAATATGACATAAATTACTTTGTATCTTTATTGGTACCTTTTTTTCAAACAGTTTCATGTAAGGAAATCATCATTTATGGACAGAGCTACAGATGTAGTTTTTATGAGGAGAAAGTCCACCCAAGCATCCATGGATACAGTAGTTTCATACCAAGGAGTTGTAAAGTAACTGACTTTGAGATAAGGACAAAGTGTGACTGCAATTATTCTCCATGGGATGATGCTACCATATCCCCCTCTTTCTTTCTCCCCATAAAACCTACCTAATTACACTAAGAGGTAAAAAATTTGTAAAATTGGTTGGCATTTTCTGAACAGATGAAAAGAAACTCATTAAATAATCTCATACGCAACGCATACTAAATTACAACCTGATAACACCAAGACCAAAGAGGTGGTGGGAGGTTGAAAAGACCTGTTCCCTAAAGTGACAAAGCAGCAGCAGTTACAGATCAACAAAACAAATTTTTAGTTCGATGCTGTATGACACTCCCCTCTTATAGAAGTCACAAGTAAAGCTCAGGCAAGGGAAACTTAGTTCTATCATAAAAATAGAGACCTCCACTTTCTATACAGCCACAAAAAAAAATAGATTAGAATTAGGTACAAGTAAAAAGTTCTCTCTTTCAACCAACCGAGAGGGTTATTCAGTGCATGATAACTTTTCAAAGAACCAAGACAGCAAATAAATCCACACAATCATTAAATTTCTCTAAACCAGATATTGAGATAAGAAAAACACAAGAAGAATTCAAACTGTGTACCAAAATATCAGAGTAAATTAGTTTCCAGGGACAAAATATAACTCTCACAACCAAAGTGCCAATAAAGCTCGAAAAAGTTTGATAGTATCTGTATTCTGCATAAAAAAAAAGGAAAATAATTATACGTGACCAGTTAATACATCCTAAGTTTAATTTCGCAAATATAACTCTCACAACCAAAGTGCCAATAAAGCTCGAAAAAGTTTGATAGTATCTGTATTCGGCATAAAAAAAAGCAAAATAATTATACGTGACCAGTTAATACATCCTAAGTTTAATTTCGCATAATGAGCAAGAAATGTATTAAGAAAAGAAACAAGAAAAATAATCAGTATAAACGTATTAGTGCTAAAATAAACACAACAGCTAAGAAAGCACAACGGGAACCCAATCAGCAGCAATGTCATAAATAATAAAAATGGGAAGACAACATGGGTTATTTATAACGTGCCTGTGCACACTGCGCAGAATTTTAGACCTGGCATATGCCCGATAGAATTACAAAATCCGCCACTCAGCACACTTGTAAAGAAGGAAAATCTTGTCAATTGAAAACTATTTTAAAGTTGGATCATCAAAAGTCCTACATGATAAACGGTGCTTTACTAAGCCAGCAGCTCCGGGAAATTTGGTGACTAAAATCAAAACAAAAATAAAATAAACGTACAATTTACATGAAACAAAAAAAAAAACTGGACGAATTAGTTATAAATGTGGAAACAACAGGTACGCAGAATAACCGGGACAAAACCAACCAAGACTTTTCCGATGTCGACTTGAACATACTCTGGAAATATTGTAAATTTTGAATTTAGCGCTGAAAAGTAGCGTGACCAACAGTGAGTATAGCGGAGCATTCTAGGAGGACTCGAAGGGCACCTATGAGCCTACATAGGCCGGATCAGAGAGCAAGGCCACGGCCCTCTTGTGACACGCAATATCAACACGATATAGAACACATGCCAGGAGGCTAGGACGCCAAAGTGTTGCCGGCCGTGGTCCAGGCATCTCTCTCCCCTCGGCCCTCCTCCCGCGCACACGCCAGAGCCACCACGCCCGCGGGCCCTCTGCGGGCCCCTGTCGACCTCGGGGTAGGCCACCCGCCCAGCGGGGCTCCGCTGCACAACCAGCATTGCATAACCATCAGGCGCTCCTTACAAACCGTTCGTTCGGGACTCGTTTCAACTCTAGAATAAGACAAAGTGCGACAAGGCGTCATCAAAGACTGGTGAAAGACATGTTCTTAAAATTTTTCTCCGACACAACACACAGTATTTGAGTGTAAACTGCAGATTCATTTCATGGACAATAATAAGGTACGTGCACTGCTGGTGAGGACAGCGCTTCGTCACCCGCTCCTCCTGTCTTCGAGCGGGCGGGTTGGCGTTTAGTTCTCCGCTTGCTCGATGCCCGACCCGACCCACCCCCCGACGACTCCCGCACCACCGGCCGCGCTGGGCTGCACCAGCTGGGCTGTAGGCGAGGCTGGGGCTGCTGCGGGGATGGGTGCGGCACCCGAGTGGCGTAGGTAGGGTGTGTCAGGCAAGGAGTGACGTGAAAGGCAGTCTGGTTAAAGCTACACATACCCGCCCGAGATCGAAGACAGTAGCCCTCTGGTCTATTGCTGCCGACGCATACGACATGTGGGTGCAAAAAACGTATTAGACGTAAGGGGCCGTCCATACAGTATGTCCGTCACTCGCCGTTTCGGAACTGTCGAGCTCATCAGCCCAGGCAAGCTCTCATGGCGCCTGGTAGGTAGGCAACATCTTACTTGCAGCGCATGCGTGTACAGCGGGGCGACCTACCGCGAGTCTCGCAGGCGCCGAGCTCCCGTAATTTACAGGATGAATCTTGGGATAAACGGACGTACTTTTTGGACGATAACTCGGTCGAGATACATTATTTGTGATAAGAAAGCAGAGAGATGCGCGAGGGCAGTAACATAACTGGGATAAAACATCTTAGCGTCCCAAAGAGCGCGATAGTTTGGGCAATTTTTGGTCGATACACCAGGACAGGGATGCACAATATTTCAGGAATCGAATTGAGATTCTTTAGCTTATTGCCCCCGTATAATGAGGCCTAAGTTTTGATTTACCGTGCAGTGATAGATCAAAGCAAATGCGATGACAAGGCGACAGGGCGCGCTGCATTTCCATACGGCATCGTCAGCAATACTCTAAGCAAGTATACCCACATCCATATTGAAGCGCATCACAGACCACAAAACCCTACACCGGCAACACAGAAAAAAGAAGGGTCATATCTAAAATGTATGACTATCGTAAGCCGAAATCAACGCAATCGTGGTAAGTCATGACTTATGATCCTCAAGAACTACGTGCGCAATCGAAGATAGAAAAACAAAACAGTACAGAACCTCACCACATGCGATGCACTTGCACACAACTCACTGTGAGTTCGACTCTAATTTTGGCCCGGTCGTCCCTAGATAGCCCGACCACCCAGCGCAGTGCGTTCAAAACGTTTCAAGTTCGAAAAACAAGGAAGTAAGACCAGGTAAAACATAAAATTTAAGGGAAAGTTAGTTTGATAAATATGCCATGCCACGCCACACCTATTTAAAAAAAAAACAAAAAAAAACAAAAAACATTTCTCTCTAATTTAGACAAGGCAGGAAAAATTTCACTATATTTATATTTTTGGCAAATTCACACTATAAAAGCAGAATTAATCTGATGGCTAATAACAACTAAAACAGTAGGTAACAAAACCAACATTATCAGCACGTTCTTAACTGTTAGAAAAACCTACGGGATATGTCTACGGTGCGCCCCGTAAATTTGCCATCAGGTCCGCGACCGTAATTTTGGATTACGGTTCACTCCGTACGGGATGTACCGTAACTTCGCAAACTGTCGTATTGGTCAATACAGCACTTGACTTACACTCTGAAGTACGGTGCATAATCTTTGCGGTCTGGCCCGTACATAAAATTTACGGAACGGACCGTAGACAAACCGTACTTCCCTATGGATTTTTTTTATCGTATTAGGCTGTTTCTATGGTACAAGTGACAAATCAACGGGACCCAACTCAAAGGTTTATTGTAGAGAAATAATTATTTTTATAAGAGGAGTTTAGTTTATCACCTTGTTAAATGTAACCAAGCACTGGTAAAATAAGTGTGCAATATTTGCAGACCAAACGTGTGCAAGTTGTGATTTTGCACATTACATGGTGTTTAACTCAAGTTGCACACTTGCGTGGTGTGCAAATTTTAGACGATTTGTAAACGTTTAAATTCTGCACACATGGACACACACAGTTCTATGCTGTCAATAGGGAACCATGCGGTGTGCAGCTGCTATACGTTTCGGAAGTGTCGAAAGTTTAAACACCAATTGACGTATAACATAGTTAGACACCACAAAGTGTCGAGAAAATGCACACTTGAACTTAAACGTCAATTGACGTGCAAATCAAACACTTGATGTACCAGTGAACGTTGCAGCGCTACGCGAAGCGTCCCAGCACGGCCCGACAATTTCTCTTAAATCAGCAATTTTCAGTAGGTCGGCCTGCGCGCCGGTGACGTGTCGCGGAGCGCTGTGCAAGTCAGTCTTTAACCGGCCGCGCTTTGAGCCGTCACCGGAGTAGTCCTGATACGTCTCGAACCAGCCGCCCTCCGGGGACGGAATACCGTGTACTCAGTCAGTTCAACCCAATAAACTCCTCAACCGCCGTTCAACCCTCTTCATGCCGAACTTCAACCTTTTTGTTCCCAACACCTCATCATTTCATTTACACGTTAATTGAATATTTTGTCACATTAAACAGCAAAACAGCAACCCTACAGTGTATTCCCACAAAACACATGTTTTGCTTTTCTAAAGCAATCTTGCAACTTGCAACTTGCAACATGCTCACCTACCGATCGACACTAACTCACTTGTTTCTACCAAGGTAGATGAGCTTGACTGAATAGGAATGTAGTAGAAAAAAAGGGGGGAGGGTGTACGCATTTCTTAAAAAGTACGATTTGGAAGAACGAAACCAAATTAAGTCTTTCGTCAAAGACCAACCTCAGTTTTTGCTGTTATACCTCAGTTTTTGCTGTTATTACACAGTTCAAATAACCTTCCATTCATAAATAACTGTAAAAAATAATAATTCTGAACTCTGCTGTTGCCTTTTTCCACAATGTACCTTATAACTGAAATTACTCAATGAAATCAATCAATATTAATATCTCTCTCTCTCTCTCTCTCTCTCTCTCTCTCTCTCTC